AGAGCGAATTACAAATCAGGAGTTGTCTAGAGGCTAATTTATAAAAGTCTAACAAACACACGGCATGCACGGATTCCCTACTTGATTTGTACAATTTCATTCCCAAAGCTTTGATTGAATTATTTTTTGTGTGCTGGATTACAGCATATTCTCTGAGATCTGCGAGCAAACATCATTGCGGCTAAAGCATGGACGAATACCAGTTTAAATCTTATACCGCGCCCGGTGTGGCAAAACCGCTGCGCCTGATCTACACAGATGTATAATCGCAAAACTATTTGCACTTGATCCTCCTTAGTTTCGAGTTGTAAACTAGCTGTCTACTACAATTTAAGCTCATAAGTGTCACGCGACGAAAATATAATAGGAGTGGTTTGAATGAGTTTGTTCTGCGTTTATGTTCAATTAATAAGTGAATTCATGATCAGTGTCGTGTGAAGTCTCGGGTCTTAGTTCAAAGACGATTCGAAGGCCGAGATTCTTGTTTTGTATTGTTTCAAAAGAATTGAGGCTAACTTTTAGTATCAGTCAGTCACGCAACATTCTTGCATGGCAAGAAGCCGAACGACCTTTATCGAATGCTCAAATGTCACGCATGGCTGAGAAAAACTACTGGAAAAAATACTGCTTTTAAAAAATATTATTAAATATACCGCTACACCGTTGAAATATTTGTTGGCAATAAATGATGTTATACCGCGAGGCTTAACCATTGATGAATATCGATGAAATGTTTTAGTTCTCATCGTGGTTGTTTGCGTTATTTCAAGAGTTTGGGAGAAGATGTATTTCAGATTATTGATTTTCTTTTCATTGTCTGTCACTCGATCAGAACTCTAAAAATAACACTCTTCTGTCTTCAAAAATAAACACATTTATTGCTCGCTTGCTTTCGCTTTCCTGGTGTTATTTGATTGATTCGCGCCAAAAGCTTCGGAAGAATTCAAGGATTGCTAATTAATAATTTTCTGTACACGGTCATTCAAATTTTATGATTATATAACAGAAAAATATTGGGCCGGTAATTCCTTTAAACTGCCTATTTATAACTCCTCTTAGACTGTTGTAAATACGAATCGTTTCAGTAACAACGACACAGTAAGTGAAAATTTTCGACCAGATTCTAGTACTGCACGTTCATTGCGTTTTACCTTTTATCTGGTAGAAAATGATTCAAAGAATCAAAAATAATCCTCTTGCTAGCAGAACTGATTGACGCGAATATTCTCCTGAATAATTTCATCGAAAATGCAACAAAGAGGAAAGAGAATAAACAAATCTATCTTGAGTTGTAATCTTGACATAACACAAAAGTCTCCTGTTAATTTGTTGGAAAGGAATTGGTCGCTCCACGAAAGGAGATGTGCTGTCTGATTTTAATAGCAGTTGTAGCAGTTGAATGGTTACCAAATAGGCTACTCAAATTCTAAAGTTAACTCGACACCTTTAATCATGTATCGAAGATTTTGGTAGTTGACCTTAATTTTCCGAGCTCACCCCGACATCTTCCAACAAATTGTACTGATAACAGTACTAGGGTGTCCCAAAAAACATCAGAGCAGTTGCAGTAGCAGAAATCTAAGTCTGATATTTCCGGAGGAGCGTGACTGTTTCATCTGATCCCATGTTTTATTTCAAGCAAAGTCATCACTGTAAAAACCAGTGAGTGTACTATAATCTGTATTCATTCACAAAATTGCATAAAACGCACTGCGCCACAAATCGAAGTTTCCTGTATTTCTTGAATGGCTTACATAGAATGTAGGCATTGGGCGAGCTATCAGTAATGATGACATTTCAACATGGCTTTTAAAGTTTAAAACGGGAACTGGTTAAGCACGTTGTCGCAAAAAAATTTGGCTCCATCCTGAGAAGAGTTTAAAATTCAGATTTAAATCAAACAATAAGCAAAACCACTGGTTTTATACCTTGTCACGGTGGACGTTTCCTTTCTCTACCTTTAGCAAAATTACCCTACATCTGATGTAAAAAAAAAAAAATTCAGATGCTAAAATAAGGTTTATCGCGTATCATATTGTAAATATATTGCAAAATTTAATATCGACTCAGTCAATTTGCTGCTTTTATAATTGAATCGATTTTACCATCTCAGTAGCGGATCCAGACCTTGAGCTAAGGGGGTGGGGGGAATTGTCGTTTGCCCTGCCGGTTTTTCTTCCTTCTGCGATTCTTCTTTTCTTTTTACTCAAAATAGGGGAAGGGGGCAGGGGTGGCCGGGCTCCCAGGACTCCTCCCCTATATCAGCCACTGCATATGAGGACATAATAATATGATTACTAATACGGTCGACCCTGTATTAAGCGGCCCGCATTTGGCGATCACCTTATATTAAGCGGTCAGTTGTCAAAATCGCGAATTGTTTCCTCTTTAATCACTGTAATTTTCACCTCTATTTAGCGGTCGCCTCTATCAAACGGTCGCGGTCACCCTCTACCAAGTCCCAACGGCCTGTTTTTAATGTCTTTCACTTGTAATGAACGATCACTGAAAGTGGGACCACTCAAATAAAACTAAGAATAATCTTTCAAGTAATTTTTAATCCATGTTTCTCTCCCAAAATCAAAGGAAGTATTATTATAGTGAGATTCTGTACATTAGGTGGCCAGTTGTGGCATAAAGTGGCATTATATATCGTTTTTGATGATACTCCTAATCTGTAGAATCTCCATTTAGCGGTCATCCTTCCATTCCCCGTGGGTGACCGCTTAATACAGTTTGACTGTTTATATTTCTAAGAATAAAGAAAATTTTATTGAACTGAGATGAAAAAAGAAAATAAATAAGGAAGATCTTCCTATCTTTATATACATATTTTCTTCATTTCAGCGGCCATCCTCTTAAACATTCGAAGACCATAATGGACAGCAAAGCAGAAGTCGAAAAAACCATCAAAATAGCTTGTGCTGTTGCCTTATTCCTTGGAAACACTAAACGCTATTTAAAAGCACTCGAGCTATGCAACGAATGTTTAGTGGTACTGAATAACGTAACTCACAGTAAAGAAGATCATTTTACAAAATCCCTTTACCTTAGGATCTTCATGTTAATGTTTCGGGTATACTTCGACATCAATGATCACACAAGGAGTGAAAGATGCGCCGAAATAGCTGTTTCACTATCGCACGACACTGGTGACGCGATGATAGAAGCATTCTTCAGCGTAAGTCTGGCAAATATGTATTTTGACCAAAGACGGCTTGAAGAGTCAGAAAAATTTTGCGAGAGAGCAATCAGAATCGTAAAGGTAATTGGGGAGAGGGAAATGGAAGCCCAAGCCTACACTTGTCTCGGAAGTGTTTCCCAAATGCAAAGAAAATATCTTAAGGCAAAAGGGAATTTCGAGAAGGCACTTGCCATCCACATGGAAATTAGAGACAAGAAGGGAGAAGCAGCAGCTCGCACAAACCTAGGAGAGGTGTTCAAGTGAATATCAGGCTCGGTACTTGCCATCGACATGGAAATTCAGAAGCATACGATCGCACAAACCTGAAGAATATCAGAAGGCTGAAGAATATAATGAGAAAGCACTTGCCATCTTTATGGAAATTAGAGACAAGAAGGGAGAAGCAGTCGCTCGCACAAACCTAGGAGCGGTGTTACTTTCACTTGGCGAATATCAGAAGGCTAAAGAATATCTTGAGAAAGCACTTGCCATCGACATGGAAATTAGAGACAAGAAGGGAGAAGCACAAGCTCGCACAAACCTAGGAGAGGTGTTACGTTCACTCGGCGAATATCAGAAGGCTGAAGAATATCTTGAGAAAGCACTTGCCATCTTTATGGAAATTAGAGACAAGAAGGGAGAAGCAGTCGCTCGCACAAACCTAGGAGCGGTGTTACATTCACTTGGCGAATATCAGAAGGCTAAAGAATATCTTGAGAAAGCACTTGCCATCTTCATGGAAATTAGAGACAAGAAGGGAGAAGCAGACGCTCGCACAAACCTAGGAGAGGTGTTACGTTCACTCGGCGAATATCAGAAGGCTAAAGAATATCTTGAGAAAGCACTTGCCATCGACATGGAAATTAGAGACAAGAAGGGAGAAGCAGTCGCTCGCACAAACCTAGGAGCGGTGTTACTTTCACTTGGCGAATATCAGAAGGCTAAAGAATATCTTGAGAAAGCACTTGCCATCTACATGGAAATTAGAGACAAGAAGGGAGAAGCAGTCGCTCGCACAAACCTAGGAGAGGTGTTACGTTCACTCGGCGAATATCAGAAGGCTAAAGAATATCTTGAGAAAGCACTTGCCATCTACATGGAAATTAGAGACAAGAAGGGAGAAGCAGACGCTCGCACAAACCTAGGAGAGGTGTTACGTTCACTCGGCGAATATCAGAAGGCTAAAGAATATTTTGAGAAAGCACTTGCCATCTTCATGGAAATTAGAGACAAGAAGGGAGAAGCAGTCGCTCGCACAAACCTAGGAGAGGTGTTACGTTCACTCGGTGAATATCAGAAGGCTAAAGAATATCTTGAGAAAGCACTTGCCATCGACATGGAAATTAGAGACAAGAAGGGAGAAGCAGCAGCTCGCGCAAACCTAGGAGAGGTGTTATATTCACTCGGCGAATATCAGAAGGCTAAAGAATATCTTGAGAAAGCACTTGCCATCTACATGGAAATTAGAGACAAGAAGGGAGAAGCAGACGCTCGCACAAACCTAGGAGCGGTGTTACATTCACTCGGCGAATATCAGAAGGCTGAAGAATATCTTGAGAAAGCACTTGCCATCTTTATGGAAATTAGAGACAAGAAGGGAGAAGCAGTCGCTTGCACAAACCTAGGAGTGGTGTTACATTCACTCGGCGAATATCAGAAGGCTGAAGAATATAGTGAGAAAGCACTTGCCATCTTTATGGAAATTAGAGACAAGAAGGGAGAAGCAGACGCTTGCACAAACCTAGGAGCGGTGTTACATTCACTTAGTGAATATCAGAAGGCTAAAGAATATCTTGAGAAAGCACTTGCCATCTACATGCAAATAAAAAACAAGAAGGGAGAAGCAGCAGCTCGCACAAACCTAGGGGCGGTGTTATATTCACTTAGTGAATATCAGAAGGCTGAAGAACATTATGAGAAAGCACTTGCCATCAGCATGGAAACTAGAAACAAGAAGAGAGAAGCCATCGCTCGCACAAACCTAGGAGAGGTGTTTGATTTCCTTGGTGAATGTCAGAAGGCTAAAGAATATCACGAGAAAGCACTTGCCATCAGCATGGAAATTACAGACAGGAGGGGAGAAGCATGCGCTCGCCTGAAACTAGGAAACTTGTTATTTTCTCTTGGTGAATTTCAGAAGGCTAAAGAGTATTTGGAGAAAGCACTTTCCATCTTCATGGAAATTAGTGGAAGAGGGAGAGCAATGCTATGTTTCCTTGGACTCGGAAAGTGCTTTCTTTCGCTTGGAAAATATCGGGACGCTCACGAACATGGGGAGAAAGCACTCTCTATTGCGATGGAAACCGGTGACAGAGCAAGTGAAGCGGAAGCGTATGGTATCCTTGGAGAGGTTCGTTATTCCTTACTTGATTATCAAAGGGCCAAAATATACAACGAGAAGCAGATTTTTATCAGCACTGAGATTGGTCACAGACGTCAAGAGGCAAAGGCATACCTGGCAAAAGCAAGGATACTTCAACATGGCGAACAAAACAAAGCTGTAGAATGCATTGAGAAGGCGCTCTTAATATTTAGTACTATTGGCGACATTAGAGGCGATTTTGCAGCCCTAGGTCAACTCTCTTACATTAAAGCATTGCAATCAAAGTTCCAGGAGGCGGAGTCTCATCTTCATGAATGTATTGCCAAGTATGAAAAATTGCGACATTCCTTGCACGGAAACGAGCAGTTTCAAGTATCTCTTTTAGATCATGTAGGACTTTTTCCATACAAGATGCTTAGTGAATTGCTTTGTCATTCCACAAATCCTAAAGAAGCACTTTATGTCGAGGAGCTGGCACGGGCTAGGTGCTTGGCAGAATCTATGGCACTCAACTTTTCCGCTGAAAATCACATCTCATCTGATCCCAAATCATGGTTCGGGATTGAAGAGATTTCAAGAAAAGAAGAGAACTGTACTTTCCTGTACATTTCGTATTATGATCGAATAGTTCGATTGTGGGTTTTGAAAAGTAACGGAGACACTTTATTCCGATCTTCCGAAGTAGTGGATGACAAGACTCTCATAGCGGAGAAAGCTTTCAATTTAAATAGCTTTTTCGACAAAGATCTCCGCGGCTTTGGAATTTTACCTGCCCATAAATGCGAAGATCGATCTTTGAGTGAAACCATGCCGATATCACTTCACGACCAGAGCGAAGCAGATTTGCGAGGAGAGGAAACTCCAGAAACTACAAGAAGACTTAATTTGTGTTCCAAACTCATCATCACTCCAGTGGCCGATCTACTTACAGAGCCAGAGATCGTTATTGTACCCGAGCGTAGCTTGTACCGAGTCCCATTTGCAGCCTTAAGAGACAAATCAGACGGTAGATACATATCGGAGACTCACAGGATTCGCATCGTCCCTTCCTTGACGACTCTTAAGCTCATTCAGGACTGCCCAGCAGATTTTCACAGCGAGACCGGTGCAGTAGTTGTTGGTGACCCCAAGGTAGGAAAGGTGTATTACATGGGAGGTGAAAGGACATTTGTACCATTGCATTGTGCAAGAAAGGAAGCAGAGATGATCGGAGAACTGCTCGGAGTTCAGCCTTTGTTGGGAGAGCGTGCAAAGAAGCAGGAAGTACTTCAAGCGATGAATTCAGTGAGTTTGATTCATATTGCTGCCCACGGTAACGCCGAAAGAGGAGAGATTGCCCTCTCCCCCAGCCTTGCCACTAACACTATTCCAGAGGAGGAGGACTACCTTTTGAGGATCTCTGATGTATCACAAGTTAAGTTGCGAGCCAAACTGGTAGTACTCAGCTGTTGTCACAGTGGACGTGGAGAAATTAAAGCCGAGGGAGTTATTGGAATCGCTCGAGCGTTCCTAGCATCCGGCGCACGTTCAGTGTTGGTGACACTGTGGGCCATAGAGGACGAAGCAACAGAGAAGTTTATGAGGCGTTTCTACAGACACCTTGTTGATGGAGATAGTGTCAGTGAATGTCTTCACCAGGCCATGAAATGGCTGAGAAGCAACGGCTTTCCCAAAGTTTCCCAGTGGGCTCCGTTCATGTTGATTGGAGATAACGTGACATTTGACGTCAAGAAACAAAGGTTAGTTTTATTTCCGAAAGGTCACTAGACACACACTGAGTCACGTACAGAATCTGGTTTCGATTCAGTTAAGGTCAATGTAACGAGGAGAGGACGTGTTGGTGTACATTCCAATGTCTTACGCGTGCCTTCTCTGAACACAATGACATAAATAGTTTTGAGAATCCTAAATTTTAGCTAGAAAATTACCAGCGGCATACTGTGTATATGACCATTTTCAAACTCAGAATGATAGTTAAAGTTTTCAACCGCAATTAACAATTTGCAGAACCGGTGGGGCCGCGCGCGAGTCAGCTACAATGATAGCGAAGATTATAATGACAGCAGTTTTTAAATGCAACCTTTAACTTAAGTATTTTTTTGTTTGTTTTTCTTTAGGAAAGAAGAAATTGACTGCGAAGGACAACAATGAAGCATAAAAGAAACAGTCAGCCAAGCCTTTCAAAAGATTGTCATGAATAATTTCATTGCATATAAATATATGTAACGGCAAGGGAAGTTTAAGTTTAATTTTTCCATTCAAGTAAACTTTAGAATGTATATCTTTATGTAGTTTCGAAAACGTAGATTGCGATTGGAAAGGTTTCGAAGAATTTCTCTTTGTATGGAATTTTTTCCCAGTAACAAAGAATGTAGCGAAGCTATTCAGCTTGTAGTTGTTTCAGCGTGCGACCTAAATCACTTGATTACTTGGTAGTTTTGATCGAATATTCTGTGAGTCAGTTATTTCTTATAAAGGTTCTTGGGAGTCTAACTTATTTGAGTAGAAAGGAGATCATATGCCTAATCTAAGTTAGTCGTGAACGAGCGGACCCCTTTGAGTAAGTTAAACGAGAAAAGGTAAATTGTTTAGTTTTAATTTTCAACCGGGGTCAGAAATGTGAGATGCAGATATGATTGATGTTTACACCGAATTATTCCATTAGATCAACTCATTTTGAGGTATTATCGATTATATGCTTGATCGAATGTTGTGTTTTTAAATAAAAGTAGCATAATTTGTAAATTAAATCGTGATTCTTTTAGTCATTTTTTTTTGGCCAAACCCTTCAAATCTCACGCCCAAAGCTGCCTTCTCCTTATCACTTATCTGCAAAATATTTTTATGTTATCCTGTTGGCATGTGACTTCCAACAAATCTGGAAACGAAACTCCACTTCGTATTAAACATAAATGTTGGTACACGCGCTATAAAGAAGGTGACTCATATCACATGGGAATTTTGCACCCCAAAAGCTCTTGTCCATTGCGAATGACTGACGTTAATAAGAAGCACCTTTCCGATCATGCGCGTAACCCTGACACCAGACTCAGCCGTTCATGATATTTGCATTCTTATCCTCGGTTACATGCGTTTCCTTCGATTACTCAATGGTTCCTTCCGGTTTTTTTTTATCATGAAAAAGTCTCATAAGTAAAAAATCAAGATTACTTCGCAACGAGATTTTGTCGCAAATGTGCTATTTTCTTGTAATTTAATTGGTCGTTGTTTTGATTTTGGGGAGACAGAAAAATCCAACGAGTTTACTTCATTTCTTTCCCTCTTCCTCTTATGACAGGAATGCTCTTTGCAAATGTCTTATGTAATCCCCCTTTTTTTTGAGAGAACATTTTGGGTGTGGCTTGCGTTTTTTCCATTTTACTTATTTGTGTTCTGAAAGACTGGTTACCCAAGGCTACTTTCTTTTTACTGTCGAGTTACTTTTTCTAAGAAACCAAGAGTTACTTGTTCTCAGAAACAGAGAAGGCTTTTTTCACAAACTTTTGTAAAAGAAAGAGTACAAAATTGCCTATCTTGTGATAGGAAGAAAGAATGATTGCACATTTTGATCAAATCGAAGTTTCCTGGTCAAGTACTTTGTTCATAACAGAGGATGTAAAGACTTCCCATTTAATCCCCAGATTTCCAAGTACACTACAAGAAAACGAGTTGAAGTTGGAAATTATCCGAGAGCCTTAGCGAACTTCGCCAAAAACATACGTCCAAGAAAACCGTTCAACAATCTGCCTAAAAAAAATAATTGACGTTACAATAATATTCCAGAAGACAGGATATATTTATAATAGTCACGCGCAGCCGAATTCTTCCACAGCACGTGCACCAACGTGGTGCCCTTCAAAAGTAAAGTTATCCGCAAATCACTCAGTAGACACGACAATGGACAAGAAAAAGATAAAAGACGTTCGATAGTGCTTTAGAACCCTCTATTTAGATAGCACATAACGGTTCCTTTCCGTGTTTTGACCTCCACCAGAAAAAAACAACAACAACAACAAAAGCAAAAACACAAAGTTAGTAGTGTCTCTCACAACAGCTGATGATGAAGAGAAGTACAGGGACTCTCATTTCGTAATGACATTCCTCCTTCTTAACATTCAAGATGTAACAAAAATTACTTCAAAAACCAACCTTCAAGCACGTTAAAGTACTCAAAATTTATATTTTCTAATGATAAGCAGAGAGCATCCCGGCGATAATTCATTTATTCAACTACCAAACAGCTAATGAAAATTGTACATGCAGTACCAAAGAACACATCCATTTTATATAAATATAAACATATAACAAAAAGTATGGATTTGACAACAACTCCCTCTCTGTTCATCTTAATAATCTTAATTACCTTTTGTTCTCTAAACATTTTTAAAAATTGCAATAAATAATAAATTATTAATATAACTAATAATGAAATTTACATCAAACTATTATAAATCTATTAAAATACACAATAACCAAATCTAAGACAAGTTTCTGTAAACCAGATCTGCCAGCACAGAGCAGTCTATTGAAAAGTTCACACATCAATCAGAATTCCAAGTCATTCTATTTGGAGGTTGGTTTGGCTACTGTTAACTCTTCCTCTTAATTAAGCAAACACTTCCTATGACTAACCACTTTGTAAATACAAACTTTTTCCTTGTCATGAAATGTTTTGGAAAAGAACCGCGACCAGTTTAGTCACCAGAAATTTGACATTTTTTCTGTTAGTTTTATAGTTCTCGGACATTAAAAACACAAAGCATTCCAGAGGTTTTCTGCCCTCCAGTACCAAAAACACTGATAGTTTTGTCTGATTTACAAATCCAAACTGCGTAATAGTTATGGAAGATTCTTGATTTCATGAAAAATGAGTGATATTGTGGATAAAGGGATTTGAAGGAAATGTTTCAAACATGAAAAATAAATAAATATTTAACTACAGTTAAAGTTGCCTGATTCAGCCAATAATTGCTTCTGAAACTACTCTTACTAGTATGTTTACTTTATAACAACTGATTGGGCTGTAAAAAAAAGTCATCAGTTGCCCAAAAAGTTTCTACTAGTTGTTTTGATTTTTCTCTACATGTAAGTAAATTTTTTTCTTGGCGTAAGAAGGGTTCTTTGAGAGAGAACCAACTGCTTATCACTCCTCTGATAATACTGTAGGGGAGCTCTCAAAATAAAGAAAAATCTCTAAAAAATCAGTTTATACATTAAATATCCTGGCCAGTCAGTTGTGACTACTAGAAGATTTCTTTAAATAACAAATCCACCCGGCCTGTTTCATAAAATAATTTATGAGCTTAATATTTCACTGAAAATTGCTTGCTCAATAAATTAGTAAGAGTAGCTAGTTAATCCCTGACAGAAATAAAAGGAATGCTTTACACAGTAAGCTAGCACATACAGAGGATAATTTTCATCACATTCACACAAGTTTTTAATCAAAACATGTAAATGGCTGCATAGAAAAGAGCTCTGAGTAGCTTGTGATAGACAGCTAGATTCTCCTTCCAAAATAGCATGTATTCCATTGTGAAACAAAGGGAGAAGTAGCAGTTACATCACAACTCACTCAAAGCTTTATTCAATGCATTCCCCTTCAGTTTTGTTAGCAAAAGTTAAGACTTGCATTTATCCAAACCTCAGATACACTTTAAAATCAATATGCACTACATTGATCTGCTCAACCTTGATGCAACATTTTAAAATGTTCCAAGTACACATATAAAAGACAGGCATAAAGAAATTAGAGACCCATCATTCGATACTCATTTGTGCCTCTATGCTAGACCCAAACAAACATATCAGTCTGATTCAAAACAGATGTTTGCACTGTCCATATTCTGTATTTACAAGTATAAGAAGAGGAAGGAACTTTTGGGTCATCTCATGACCCAAGTATAAATTGTCCTCTTAACAAATAATTATGCTCCTACGCTCATATGTGTAAACAACCTGAGTGCTGTTCTATTTTAAGTGATTATGAAGAACATCACTGCTCCAGCCTCTATCAACTGTCAGCCAACTGTTGGCTGACAGATAACCCACAGGTTACAAATTGGCCATCAACAAAAGTTTTAAATGGATTTTAAAGCAATATACCTGCCAATTAACCTCCAAAATAATACTTTGACTTGGTTTTTATGAACGCTTTTAGAAGTTGATCTTACTCTGCATACACTGAACACTATTAAAATGACTTAATACCACATAAGATTCAACAAAAACATTTCGGCAACAATCTCTTGAACAATGAAGTATGTCCAATGAGCCTATTGGCCAACTGTCAGGTGGACTGTTGGCCAATTGTTGATTGTGAGTTGACTGACAAGCTTTTTCAGGGAGTTGTTCTTCACAATTACCCTATTTTCTTTGTTTAATTGATAAAACACACACTTGGGACCCTGGGAGTAGGTTTATGTACGATCATAATATATCAGTTGCTTGCTACCATGCAGAACCACGCCAAAACAGAGAGCATAAGGAGTACAATCTGTGGGAAGTGCATGGGAGAGCCGCCAGAAATTGGTAGCTGGGAATGTTCAAAGTCTTCTGAAAGAAACAGTTTAACAAGAAGACAGTCATACTGATATAATCTTGTAAATAAAATAAGAAAGATGGTAAGTTTTGGACTTGGTAAAGAAATAGAGAAAGACGTTTTTTTTTTGTCTTGTCATGAGCATGGAACAAGGAAAAGATTACGAGTTAATTCCCATAAGCAATCAAACCTCAGACCTTTGGGTTCCATGCTCTGATGCTCTACCACTGAGTCACAGAGGCTATGATGTGCAAGGCCCATTGCAGAGTTCTACACCTTTACATCAGTATACATATTCTACATACTGTTATCCATACATTTCCCAAGGTGCTGATAAGGAGAACTTGATTAACAATCAAGAGCTACTTTAGTCAGTGATCATTACCTCTATTCTTGTGACTTTAATGTGTGATTTTGGGCTGATATTGTTTGGAGAAATCAGATGTTAGTCCCTCTTAAAGCTTAAAAGGTATATGGCTTTCATTACATGTAGGTTCCCTTGCCATTTGTTTGTTTGTTTGTTTGCTTTCTCTATCAGTTGTTGTCAATTGTAGTAATGTCACATATAATGGCAAATTAACCCTTTACACCCTAACATCAGTATGTATAT